TTTGGATTATACGCTATACTTAGGAATTATTGATTATACATTATAATTGTAGATTTAATGACCGATCCAACACTCCATACACAGCACTTAACAAGGAACGTACTAATTTTACTTGTATAGTTCTAGACTGTGTATCATTATCTAATTTTATACAATATTATTTAATACGTTTGTTACTATATATGATAATTGTATTTTTAGTCTGCCACAGCTTTAAGGCAAGAGCGATATTTCTTTACTTCATAGTATTATCGAGTCTGTCCTAATTGTAACTGATCAACTGTTAAATATAGTATTTGACAATAACAAACGCCATGCCACTATTTTACCGCTTTAAGAAGTCAGTTGAACTAGACAACCTGGTGTTCTACAACAGGACATAGTAACGACATTAATCCAATAAGTGTTACACCGATAAAAAATAAATCAAATAGTTTCATTTACCACATATTGTAAAACATTTGAAGACACCTGGCTTGGTTGAAACATTACTGTATCTATCTAATCAAAACTTCCAACTCCATTGAATACTCGTAACAGTAGATTTCAAAATTCTATCACACTCTATCAAATTATCATTGAGATAATTTAATTAAATTAAATTGCTCCTTCTTAATACTTACTTATTTTAATAGACTGGTGAAATCGAAGTCGAAAATCCTTTCTTCGATAATAATAATAATGATAATAATGAAAAGAATAATAACGATATTGATAATGATAATGGTGGAGAGAAAGCGTTGAATACAAGTGGTAGCTCAGGTGAATTGATTGGTTGCAGTGATTTAGATGAGCACATTAGTGACTGTGTCAATAATGGATTTGCCGACGAGTTTAGTAATCTAACAACAAATACCACCACCAGCGGAGAAGTAACATTGATTACTACAACTACAACCACTGTACCAACACCGATACAATCAGAGAAATCACATGCAGCTAGTAAATAAGTTGTTGTGGAACGAGAATTAAATCAACTCCAATATTTAATGCTAATTATTATTTCCATTGTGTTTTTGCATGTCGTCTGTTAATGTGATTTGTGTAACAGATTAGATAATCTTTTGAAATTCTACAATCATTCATATCATTTTCCAACATAACAAATAGTATCATTGGTCACTTGTAACGTCATCCAGTATACACTGAAGTCTTCGAAGCACATTTGAAGTATGGTAAAGTACATAATTTCTTTGTGATAGATTTATCCGGAGACGTTATTTTTCCCTTCAGGATACAAACTTTTCCCATATTTATACATCATGATTTGAGGTTTTTATCATTTCGTTTGCTGTCACAGATAACAACGTGCTAAACATGTCAATACATTTTCGTTTTTATCAAAATTCATACATTTTCAGACACTACATATTCAAAGTTTACTGAGAATTTATTCATTCTAAAGTACTTGTCGAAAAGCCAGTTATTTTTCTAAATTTTGAATACTGTACCAAGTATATCATCCTCGCATTGTGCTGTTTGTTTGTTTGGTTTATCTTTGCTTACATCACTTTTCATCAATGTTCTTGTGCGTATATGTGTGCATCTCCGTGTAGATTCTTGTTTGTAATAGGTAGTAATCTGTTGTTCGGTTTAATTCGTCTTGTTACTTCAAACCACCTTTTGCTACCATGAAATTTTGTGTCTCCCGTAATCATTAGTTGAATGCTATTTCTCAAATAGAATAAATGATTCCACAGGATTTGTCTTCATTTTCATAATTCAATTGATACTAGTTAGTAGTTGATAACAGTGAATTCTATGAGGAGAATATGGCATAGGTCTATGAAGTCATTAAATATTGGACTGAGTTGTGATAAGAGATCCAGAGTTCTGGTTGACTTCTGCACGATAATCATAATCAATGGTTAGAGAACTTAGGTGGTAAAAAATCGGTTAGAGTAGGATATTCATATTCGTTTCGTAATTCTTTTAGATTTTACATCTTACGATCATTACGTAATTTTATTTCATATTCTTACCATGAATCAAACCTAGTTTAAATGACTAGCTGATGTGAGTATACAACTCCGTTTTCAGTCTATGCTTAATTGGATTACAACATCCATGAGTTCATTTTTGGCGGTCACACAACGAACCAATTGGAACAAAGTATGCGCAACACGACTTGATACTGTTTTAAAAATCTGACCTTACATTTTTTAAATAATACAATTAAATTTGATGATATCTTGCAGTTGAATGTCTTCTGGAAAAATAGAAAATTATTGACTTTGATGAATAACTTATTATTACTTCTTACGATACTACATATCCCATTGAGTGGATGTTAGCTTCCATAACCTTTCCACATTCATTCAGAGCTCAATGACAGGACACTCGAAGAAATCCGATGGGTTTCCGAACCAGCGTTGAGCTCATAGATCAGATATTCACCATACAGTAGATTCAGAAACATAGGCATATCTACTAGAATGTGACTGTGACCACTTTTCTTGACATGATACTAGCACTCAACTCTGTCGACTGAGAGACGTTGTGGAAGAGTATGTATTGAAAGGTGCATTAAATAAGTACGAATATCATTTAGACTCTCTTTATTTATAAACCATTAGTTGAATCAAAACTTACGGTGGGCTGATATTTGAATTGGCCTACGAAAGTGGCATTCATGTTCGACCGTTAGGCCACTTAAGAAAACCACTCCCTTCCGTCTTGGCACCCAGCCAGTATCACATCCCACACACAAATCAAGTGACCTGTGTGGCACAGATGTATTCGGTGCCTTATTGCACCAATATTTATATGTTCAAATAAATAAATTGAAGCTTTGTCGGTTGGATAACTAGGCCAATAGTGTTGAAATAAGGCATAGGATACCAGGTAAAAATGGTGGTAAGTTGATTGATGGTACTATGAATAGAGTGAAATCACCGGAAAAAGTGCTACACAAGTTTAGTCAACGAATGTTCTGACTTGCTATGATGCTTATCGTTGAAGTAGTCTAAGAAAAGTGACAAAGCAAAATAAAGGAATGACATAGGCCTGTCTTTGCTGTGATTTACATCCACACCACAAACGAAATCTATAATTGGTGACTATAAGTGACGTAACTTGACGTCAATCTCAGTGGTACAGAGATACTGACATTTCATCTTGCCCTAGATCCCAAATTTCATTATCAGTTTATACTTACCCTTCCTGAATTTTATATGTTCCGTTCCAACCATATTTGTCATTTCGTTCACCAAATACATAGTGATGTTGTTAGTTTACGTTCTTTGTTTTTACTATCATTAGTTTCCTCCCACCAAGTACATGTAACGTTTAGGGACTTAAACTGGTCCATATTAAACGCATACCTTATCATGTTTGTTATTGATCACTGAGTGATCTCTGAATACATGTAATACTATTCAGTGGTTTTCATACGTTGATGTAGTTGTGTGTGGGAAAATAGTATGAAATCTGGACAAAACCTCTGAAGTCGAATGTTTGCAACTTGCTGATTTGGTTCTGTGAAAGCGTACTGCGGTATTTGTATGAGTTAATGATTCTTCCGTATTTGATGGCCCGCTGATTGCGAATTCCTAATATTACACGTTCATTTGTTCTCATCTAGTTCTACTTAGAGTAAATTGCACCATTTCGGGAATTCCTGGTTTTTACATGAATTCGAATACTTCTGATCATCATAAATACCTCTTGTTAGGACACTAAGACAACTTAAGTATTTTTCTGTTAATTCTCTGATGAATCTAATTTTGCCACTGTTGTATAGTAGTTCATATAGATTTTCACTAAGTGGGAAGTGAATAAGAATACCTAATGGACGGTAATTGTTTTATGCCATAGATTCACTGAGGTCGAAAAATTCCTAATATTGAGTGTTGATCTATTTGATGCAATATTCGAGCATACTGTGCTTGAATCGATCCTTAAGTAATCGATAGTATGCGTCATTACAGAACAACTAAATAGAAGGATATACAGTTCACTGGAATGGGTATGCGAGAAAATGACCGAGTTGAAAAAAGAGGCTCACGAACAGAAACTTTAAATGTCCAGTACACCTCATTTACCTGGATAAAAGCTTAATCTTGTGAATGGAATAAATCCACTCGACTTCTCTCTGGATGAGCTGGTTGCTTGAACTATAGCTCTCTATAAACCCCACCAGTTGATTGTTGGTTCTGATCAATAGTCACCGAAACACCTGAGTCACTAAGTGTTATGAGTTAGCGTAGGACGCCATCTTTTAGACTTAGATACAAACCTAAGGGGTAGCCACCACAATGGATTGGAATGAAAACTTGTATACTCCAATCACTTTTGAGAGAATCAATCAAGTATCGACTGAAACAAAATTAGTGAAGTGAAAGACTACTATGATCATTATTTTAAAAAATGTGCATGACATTTAAAATCGCCAAATGAAGCGTTTTTTATCAACTTATTTCTAGGAAATATTACCGATAACTGTGAGAACTTTGCCTGAGATATTGTTAAGCAGGATGTTAAGAACTTAATGAAGTCTGTCTACTCACAGCTACATAATTATGGCATTATTCGGAAACAAACATCACTTGATCAGGATAAATTATTAGGATAAACAGTGTCCAATCAACTAGGCTATATTTAACATTTTCGCGTTTGCTGATTATTGAAGTCATACTTTTTTCATGAAATCAGGTTAGTTGATTGGTTCTTTAGTGTTAATTTGTTTTCAGATGTCTTGATCATGGATATACTATCCTAATATGATAGCCTTAGTTAAATCCGTTTGCTAACGCACATTATGAATAAAATAAGCAAAAGTATATTAAATGAACCATCATTGAAAACGGTTTACATGCTCAATGAGTCCTGTTAGCTTGTCTGCTTAATTTTCATTGGTCACTTGTTCACAGCCAATGAGATACTCAATGGATTAGCGAATAGAAATGAAATGTTTACAGCTTAAACAATGCAGTAGTTGCACTATTGGTGGATTTATTTACCAGATGACTATTTAAGTCACTGCTTAGTTAGCTTGCTTTATGTCTACCTGTACAATGACTGGTGAACACGTAAAGGTAGGTTAGGTTGGTTGTTTTTAGTCACTTGTGTCCATTGGTGGGTTTTCGAGTGTTGTTGAGGTTCCCAATTGCAGTATTAGGTAGAATAAATGTTATTTGCGATATGAAAGTAAATACTGAGTCATATCGATTGCACAGTAGATCTGTACACATAATTAGCAGTGATTTTTCACCTCATCAACCCACTAAATTACGTGTTCAGACAGAGTTCTGATATGATGCACAACCATTATAGTCAGATAGTAATCACCCAGTGTTTGTTTTAAGAAAAGTTAGGTGTAGTATTTCAGTAAGTGTTATGGTTTGCCTGTGACATTGTTGCGAGAACCTAGAGGGTTCTAGAGAGTGAATCCATCTGGTCCATATTTCAGAAATATGTAATCCATGGAACAGTTATCTGTTATGTGATGGTTTTTCTGATGTGGTTAGGACTTGGATGATGAGACTGTTTTCAAGCGAAAAGTGATGTGAAACACTAAGCTGTAGTTTCTATAGGTTATCTATTTTAACGGACGCGGACGAGCTGAATCGATCCGGATGACACTTGTGGCAGCTGGTGTGAACTACGAAGATGAGAGAATTAGTTTCCAAGATTGGCCGAAAATCAAACCAACTATTCCGGGCGGACGATTGCCTGCAGTGAAAATCACCGATAATCATGGGCACGTGAAATGGATGGTAGAGAGTTTGGCTATTGCACGGTATATGGCGAAGAAGCATCATATGATGGGAGAAACAGAAGAGGAGTATTATAATGTTGAGAAGTTGATTGGTCAGGTGAGTTAAGCGTTTTACTGATTGGTGGAATTTTATGCTGTTGGAGTCGGGTGAGTTCAACTTATTGCGTCGAATAAATGAAGTTTAAATTATAGGCGAGTGGTAACTAATGTGTTGTGATTACTAAAAATCATGATAAATTTGAAATATTCTAATTATTAAAAAGAAGTGACTAAGACTGGACTTTTCTACCAATTGGAATATTACAAATAAACTACTTATCTGCAGTATCGTAATAGTGTTCACTCCCGACCTTTGTTGCTACCTTGAAGTGGTGGTCGAACTTGCCCATCGTGATGAAGCAACCGAGCTATACCGGCTGGAACAACCGTTCATTAAGGTCCCACCATGTCAGACAGATCGGTTGAAGAGCGGTAAGGCTAAAAGCAACAAACCTAGGATCCGAAGGCGAAGTCGTACTGCTGACTGTACAGAGGTGTGACACCAGTAAGGTGTTTCCTTCAGACAGCCAGCATGACGGCGGTACTGCCTTCCCACAAGGAGGAGTGTGGTTAGAAAAGGTCGACCCTAAAAATGCACACCTCGCCTTATCCCACGGATATCCGTCTCCGGCGGTAAGGTCGCAACAAGTATGGAGCTAACAGAAAGGTTGTGTGTGACCGACCTCAAGCAGTTGTCCCTTGGGCACTGCGGTCACGCTCTCAGATCACTAAGACCACCTCTAATTCAATTAGTTTACCTAATATAGTATCCAAAATGCTAGCCTCGATAATTATCAGACGCCTAACTAAGACTCGTGAACTGCAAGCATGAGAGAATCAAGCTGGCTTCAGACCTGGTTGTGGCTGCATCGACCACATATTCACCATTCGTCAGGTTCTAGAACATAGGCATACTTATCGACGTCCAACAATGGTGGTCTTTCTTGACCTAAAAGCAGTATTTAACTCGGTAGACCGCGAGATTCTGTGGCAGTGTCTGTCATTGAAAGGCGTACCCCAGAAGTACATAAACCCTGTGAAGGCTCTTTACTCGAACACTACCAGTCGAGTCAGAGCTTATGGCGAACTGTCATCTGCTTTCGCAACCTCAAGTGGTGTCCGCAAATGCTGTCCACTTTCTCCATTTTCAAATAGCTCCATCATAGACATACTGATGGCAATAACATTCTGGTCGACTGAATTCTCGGGAGTCTGATCAGCTCTAATGGGTTGGTGTCTGACGAAATTTCAGCTCGGATTCGGAAAGCTCGCCTGGCTTTTGCCAACTTACGTCACCTATGGCGAACGCGAGATATCCGTCTATCAATAAAAGGATGAGTATACTGCGCGGCAGTTCGTTCTGTTTCAATTTACGGCAGCGAAACATGGCCATTACAAGTAGAAGACACTCGTAAGCTACTAGTATTTGACCACAGATGTCTTACAAATATTGCTCGCATCTGCTGGGATCACCGGGTAAGTAATAGTGAGGTTAGACGCAGGGTATTAGGGAATGATGGTAAATCAGTTGATGAGGTTGCGAATCTTCATCGACTGAGAAGGTTGGGTCACGTGTTACGTATACCTGAACACTGATTACCACGATGCGCAATGCTAACCGGTGCTGGAGATGGTTGGAAGAAAGTTAGGGGCGGCCAAACCAAAACGTGGCATCAGTGCTTGAAGTCACTAACGTCTGTTCTGAGCCATGTTGGTAGATGCAGACTACTTGGTTGGGGTCCGCGTGACTATCGTAAGCAATGGTTGGAGACTTTTGGTGACATGGCTCAGAATCGATCACAATGGCGTCGGTGTAAACACTGTCTGTCTTTCCTTGAACTAAGAGATTAAAATCGATCATGTCTTTCTTTCTACCAACTTATTCTTCCTTCCTGTACTATATCCTTATTGCAATCTTTCTTTTATATATTACCACCTCTGAATTAACTACTTTTATGAATCCGGTGTCCATCTTGTTGTGTTAATGAGTTATGGCAACTTGGACCGATGCATATGTGTGCCTGGTCCTACGTTGTAGCTGACTGACTGACTGTTCACTGAGAACCATCCACTTCACCACTGGAAAATACTTCGTCGTGTTTCACTTTATTTGTTTACATCTCGACAATACTTGTTGTTCTTGTGACATTCTATACTGGATTCTCCTTTTATGTAAGTACTTAGCTAAGTGTCAACGTGTCTGAAGGGAGAACAGGCAGGTTAACTCGTGTAGGTTGTTGACCTAGAGATGGCGCAGCACGGTCTTGAGGCATTATCTCACGTGGCTCAGAACAGACGCAGTGGCGATTCTGCTGTAACTTTCTTACACTTCATTAAGGCGGGAGTAATTGAAGTTCTTTCTTCACTGGACTGCCTCTCCCACTATTATTAGTCATTAGTAGTAGTGGTATTAATATTATCGACAGATTAACGTGCCTATGGGTAGTCCTGCGACGATTTAACCACACAAAAAAGAATTTGCATAACTTAATCACTTAGCAGGGACTCAAATAGTCTCATATTGAAAGGAAAACTAAAATAAGCTACCAATAGAACGTTTTATGCAGCCCAACTTATCATTATCGAAAGTCAAGGTTTGTGTTTCACCAAAAACCCAAACAGCATGTAAACGGTTGTTTCACATCCTATTGTATCTGTCAATTTATTTGTATGTATGGAATCACGTACATGGGGAGTATTAATCGTGAGCTGCAAATAAGGGCGTATGAGCACACCTAAATGGTTACAAAAACAAATGAATCCAGATGTTCTAATGAGATCAAGATGGACGTTTGGTTGAGACTGGTCGTAAGGTTGGTATCAAGTCAGTCGGAAGCGGAAACCCTCTATATGTGTTCAAAATCAATTTGTTCTTACCTCCAACTTGTCCCGGTAATAGTGGTTTATTATCCAGATTGGTAATCACATTGACTTTGTGTACTTCATCATTACCTTTCTTTCCGCTAACCTTTTAGTCTATTTAGTTGACCTTTTGTTTTTCATGTATAATGTCTTGACAAGTATGTGTGATCAGATTGCTCGAGATATATTGCGCAAATATATCACAATTCTGATAACCTTTGTCTTCTCATCGCACTGCCCATATTATTATTTTTATCATTTCATTCCCACACACTAGTTTATATTCATTGTTGCTCTTTGCTATTATACTCATCTTCCATTCTCTAAGTCTTCGCAACCTCCGTTTTAACTGTGTGGTGCATATGTATATTTGGTGCCGCCTTGTGCCAATTTTTACGTGTTCAAATAAATAAATAAACAGCTCCTAAGGAAAACCACAATTGTAATTTGTAAATCCAACTCAAAACTATCATTTCTCTTAATACCTAATTCGGCACATTTTATGATATCACATATACTATGTGGTGATGAAAACCCTACATGGTGGCAACCCTTAGTCAAAACACTAGTTCGATTCCTAATGTGTAGTTGTGAAGTCTTACCTTTTCTGCAAATAATATTTGGGTATGTGAAGGTTGTTTTATTCAGAGCAAGGATGTTATTCCACTGTTATTTTATTGGTTTTAACTGTTCATTGTTTTGTAACTATCCAGTGTCTCCTGATCGAATGATGAGTCGCCCAAAGTCGTCACTATATTATACTTTTACTTCATATTTTCATTAACTTTTTGATTTTGTCTACTAAACATAGGCTGAAGATCTAGAACATGAATATTACAAAACTTTGATGAAGCCAGAAGAAGAGAAACAGAAGATAGCCAAAGAGATACTGAACGGCAAAGTACCAGTTCTTCTCGATGTAAGTTATTTTAAAATAGTTCCAGTTTGGAAAGGACAGGAGGCTTAATGGCCTGTGTTAGTCTTGGCAATGGTGGTCTCTCGGTTGATCCAACTTTCTTTTGAATGAGTCGATGGATTTAGCCTCAACTAAGTGGTGAGGTTGTGAATTCCACTCGCTGATGATTAGATGGTAAAGTCGATAGTCAGCTGACAAGTAATTTGTTCTGGGCTTATGAACTTTTTTTGAGTGTCCTCGTAAATTCTTTGTTTTTGGAAGACCAGGAAATTGAGGACATACCAGGTGCAAATTTATCACTAAGCAATTTGAAAACTAATCAAGTCGCCTCTAGTTCTGCGATATGACAACGGGAAAAGGTTTAGCTTGGCCAGTCGAGCATCATACGGAAGCTTCGCAATTCCAGGAATCAGTTTAGTTGCTGTTCTCTAAACCTCTTCCAGAAAGTTTTTTTTAAGCAGGGGCTATCCGCTTGTATGCTGTACTCAACACTAACACTGTATACAAAGTCAAAAACGTTTTAGCGTCGACATGACTAAAAGCCCTACGTATTATTCGTTTTATGATTAATGTTTGTATTAACAACATGACTTTAATGGGTGTAAGCTGATTGTGTGTATTGATTATATCGGAAACGATTTGTTGTGGTTCTTACCAAATTAAAGGCTTTCAATTTTCGTTGATAATCATAGTCTGGATGGACATGAAGACAGGTCCTATTGAAAGTCATCAGTGTTGAAACTGACGATCACATAACTTAAGTAGACTGACCACCCTCATATACAAGCTTTCAACATCGAAGTGCTGTCTGTCAGTTATGTCCATAACTAACCAATCAAGTCGTTGTTCAAGCGACCACCACGCCAATCTAGTCTGATGTGTCTGTAAACTATCCCTGTCGCATGTGACCTACAAATTGCAAGACATTATTATCCTACTATATTGATGTGACTCAATTTTATTCATTTCGATGAGGCACGTAGTACTGGTTGAAACAGATAAGGTTTAAAGCCAAGTTGTGTTTGTTCTGACTGTAGCTTTCACGTAAACTCTATGCTCGTCAGTATCGCGTTTACGGTTCTAGTAGTATATCTGTAGGACAAATTAAATCATACATTGTCTGTTTTTGTTTGTTTTAACACATAATTACGCCTGTAAGTCTCATAACCTATTCAGGTGCGTTTCTGAAAAGACATTTTGGTTGCTGGCAATATGCATCGAAACAGATGTACACCATTCATATGTCGATTCCTAAACTGCTAACATTAACGGGCAACCACTCAGTCTTTGTCGCAAGGGTCGATCAAGAAATAAGAAAAGGAAACGTGTTGAATTACTTTGTGCTGAGAATTCTATATTGTACAAAAATACACAAATGAATAAAGCTAGTATTAATGCTTACATATTCGAAAAAATTAGTCCCTTTGATAAATTTCGATAATGAAATGAAAAGACGAAGTTAACAAGAATTATGTGATATATTTGCGCAATACATTTCGAACAGTCTAATCACACATATACTTGTTAAGACATTTTTATATGAAAATTTAAAGGTCAACTAGACTGATTAAAGTTAAACTGTAACAACGATAAAAATTAATATTAAAGTACACAAAAACAATGTGATTACCAGTCTCGATAATAAATTAGTATTAACAGAGTAGATTAAGTGTAAGGACAAATTGTTTTTGAACGCATAAAGGGGCTTACCTTTAGTCTGTCTAGTTGACCTTTTAATTTCCACATAAAAATGTCTTAACAAGTATATATGTGATCAGATTGTTCGAAATGTATTGCGTAATTATATCACATAATTCTGATAACCTTCGTTTTCTCATTGGATTATCGAAGCTTACATGTTCGTTTGGCTGTCAACTGAATTATGATATTACCAGTCTGTTTCTATACCGCTTATATCCAATCACTCCGTATTATTTTAATCGACATTGGTTTTTATGAGAACGAATTAGCATATCCACATCTTCAGTAAGCTATGTTAGCAAGTGAAGTTGGTGTGTTGAGTCTACCTCAAACATGCATCTGTGGCGATCGGTATTTGGTGTAATTCTTAAATTCATGTCCACTCCTGAACTGCTAACATTCAATTGGTGACCACTCAATATTTGTCTCACTCCGTGTTAATATTGCCTCGGAAGCGTTACTCGTAGATTACTTATATGCTGCTTTAAACATATTGTTGTGACTTTGCTTCGTTAATCAATCATATCGATAACCGTTATAATATAAATTTCAACGGTGTTTGAAATCAAAAGGCAATGAGAAGCAGCAACTACAGTTCATTAGCGGATAGCGCAGGTCACAAAGCTATAAGGGCATCAAACGAATTTGAAGTAGAGGCGAACATGTATTTGCGAGCAGTTACATAGGCAAATTTCTAGTCGAATCACATAAGGACACAGCAAAGTAAAGCAAAAAGCTAATAATAGGATTTGAATACATATATACATTGGGACCTTGGGTTTGTTGCTTTTAATCTTACCGCTCTTCAACCGACCTGTATGGCATGGTAGGACCTTGAGGAACGATTGTTCCAGCCAGTATAGCTCGATTGATAGCTGCTACCTTGACGCGGTGGTCGGGCTTGCCTATCGTGATGATACAACCGAGCTATATTGGCTGGAACATATTGTAAAACGGTAAGACTAAAAGCAGCTACTCAACTCAAGGTCTGAGGGCGAAGTCGTACTGCTGACTGTAGAAGAGTGTGGCAGCAGTAAGGTGTTTTCTTCGGACAACCAGCATCTGCAGCAATGCTGCCTTCTCACAAGGAAGGACGAGGTTAGAAAAGGTCGACCCTAAAAATGTCACACCTCACCTTACCTCACGGATTTGCGTCTCGGCGATAAGGCTCTTTGAAAAACGGAACTAACACATTCAAAACCTCCCACGAAAAGGCCGTGCGCGACCGACCTCAGCAGTTGTCCCTTGGGCTTTGCGGTCACGCTCCCAGGTCGTTAAGACCAACACTAATCCGATTTCCTTTTCAGGTTCCTCAAGAAATACCCTTCCATGGTGTGGGCAGCCGGGAAGTGATATCAGCCCTCATACCCGTAACAGCACACGAGACCAAGTTGGTCACATTCAAATCCTTCCTACACCTCCTAATACCTCTCTTGTCTCCACGACTAACCCTTCTCACGTCTCTTTATTACCTCGCACCGCTAGGGCAAACGGTTCGAGTACGCGGAACGTTATTCCTGGTCTCCTGAAACCACACTCTAAACTACACGTAGGAGCTTTCAACGTCCGAACACTGTGCCAAATAGGACAACAGGCTTCCTTAGCTAGGACTTTGGAATCTCGTGCCATCAATGTGTGTGGCGTCTCCGAAACATTTATACAGGATCCGAGTAGCGTCATTCATTTGACCTCACCATGTCAAAATAAAGAACCATCTCGGTTCACACTTCGTGTGTCTGGAAGCCCAGATGCTGCTTCTCGTGGATTCGCCGGCGTAGGTATACCATTGAGTCCTAGGGCAGAACTAGCTCTCTCAGACTAGGTCTCAGTAGACAGTCGTTTGTGCGCTGTCCTACTAAATGGAACAATAAGGACTCGGAAAGATAGGGACACTCGTCGTTGCCTCTTTGTCGTCTCTGTCTATTCTCCCACTGACTGCAGCGCAGATGCTGTAAAAGATGAGTTTTACAGAAAGCTTCCTGACCTTCTCCGAAAAGCTAGGCGCTCTGATGTAGTAATAGTGGCTGGTGACTTTAATGCTCAAGTAGGTAAACTAAGCGGAAGGGAAAGACACCTGGGTGGATCTTATGGTGTCGTGGCTCAAAGAACAGATATTGGCGAGCGTCTGGTGCAGCTATGCTCAGATAACCGCCTCTTTCTTGCAAATACTAACTTTAAGCATAAGGAAAAACATCTTTTAACATGGCGAACCTCTAATTCGTCCCAACGTTGGACCCAAATAGATCATATCGCTATCAGCCACCGTTGGAGGTGCTCCATAGAAGACTGTCGTTCATTCTGGAAAACATTCTTAGATTCAGATCATGCTCTAGTGCGAGCACGTATTTGCCTGCGTCTTAGTGGACGTAGGAAAGACGCTGCAAGTAAACCTCTTAGACGCCTACTTAATGATAGTCAAGCTAAGAGTATATTTCAGGAACAACTAGAAAAACAGTTAGGCAGCCATGTAAGTGATGTCCACCCCGAGGCAGCATGGAATGACATCCGAAAAACTGTGGAAACAGCAGTGATGTCTGCAAGTCCGGTAAACCATAAGGTCAGAGAGAAATACTGAATATCAGCAGCATCTACCGCACTGATGGATGCTCGAGAACCCATCCTATCTGGCACTGAACATAACGAGGAGCGAAGTCAGATTAAGCTCAAGTTGACGAAAAGCCTACACAATGATCGCGAACAGTGGTGAGTAGCAAAAGCAAGAGAGGTGGAAAAGGCAGCGGCAATAGGCAACAGCAGACAACTATTCAGACTTGTTAAGTAAACCGGTATTAGGAACCCAACTGTAGGCGAAACTATCTCGGAAAAAGATGAACATACTATACATTCTCAATCCAGGAGATTGGATCGATGGGCAGAACGCTTTAGGGATCAGTTCAACTGGCCTTCAGCCACACTTCGGTTTCCCACGATCTCCAGTCGACCTGAATGGAAAGTTAATGTAAGTCCTCCAGGGGTTGAACTTCTACCGGGAGGTTCACTTGTTGACTTAGAATATGCTGATTACATAGTTCTATTTGGTGAAGACGCCGTCAAAATACAGACTTTTCTGACCACTCTAGGCAACAATGCAAGCATGTTCGGGATGCGATTCTCTCCCTCGAAACACAAAATGTCACTTCACGATTGTGTTGCATCGAAACCCGAACTAATGATAGGGAGTGAAGTAGTTGAGCGCGTCGACCGCTTCACTTATTTGGGAGTCTCATCAGCCCTTGTGATTTGGTGTGTGACGAAATCTCAGCACGGATACAGAAGGCTCGACTAGCTTTTAACAACTTGCGTCATTTATGGAGTAGGCGAGATATCCGTCTATCAACCAAAGGACGGGTTTACTGCGCAGCAGTTCGTTTCGTCCTACTTTATGGCAGTGAAACATGGCCGGTAAGAGTAGAGGATATTCGTAGGTTACTAGTATTTGACCATAGGTGTCTTCGAAGCATTGCTCGTATATCCTGGGATCATCGAGTATGTAATGTAGTTGTTAGGAAACGAGTACTAGGTATTGATAGCAAACCAATTGAAGTAGTGAAACTTCATCAGTTGAGATGGCTTGGACATGTGTTACGTATGTCCAACGACCGACTGCCCCGACGTGCAATGTTCAATGGTGTAGGAGTAGGTTGGAAGAAAGCTAGAGGCGGCCAGACCAAAACATGGCACAAGTCCATGAAATCACTGACAATTGGACTGAGCCATGTCGGTAGGTGTAGACTGCCTGGTTGGGATCCGCGAGATGATAGCAAAAATGGAGAAATCAAGCCATGTGGAGATTATAGAGTCCTTAATAAACAAACTATGGCCCCAAATGCCCTGGTACGGCCGAGAGTGGGGAGAGTCAGCTCTCCCTCTCGAAATGCTCTCACATGGCCACGCGTATATAGCCTCTTCCAGAGAAGTTCTACTCACTGCCTTCTCGTGGTTGGGGTGTTGTTTACGAAAATGAGAGGACGAAATGCGAATGTCCGGCACTTTAACCGGATCCCAAAGCAATGGTGCACATGGGCTCCAGTATCCTGTGGTAAAAAAATGCCGTGTGAACCAATTGTTGGTCACCCTTTTCCATGGGACTACATCTCCATACGATGCTCCACTGCCTTGTGGATCAGACCTTCAGGTCGAAGGCTCGGGGAGTGGCCCCTTAAGAAAACCACCTGCTTCGGTTTGGGCACCCGGGCAGTATCACAGCCCTCACACATATCGAATGAGATTTGTGTGGCGCATATGTATTTTGTTCCTCCTTGTACTACTGTGAAAAAATATGGCATATAGATATCCGGTGCCGCACATCCACAACATCACTACCGATATGGAAGGTGGCACGATCTTTCCAAAGATTGATCTTGTTAGGGCTTATTACCACATCCATTTGGGTTATTTGAATGTTTGTGAGTGCCCTTCTGATTAACTATTGCAGCTCAAACCTTCCAGCGATTCATTGATCAGGTCGATAGAGGTCTGATAGGAGTATATGTATATATCGATGATATACTAGTAGCTAGCGCTACTATGGAAAAATATCTACGACAGTTGTTTACGAAACTTCAAGGACAAGGCGTGGAGATTAACGTGGAGAAGTGTGAATTTGGAAAGGAATCATTGCAATTCCTGTTTTATATGATAGATTCTCAAAATATCACGTCAGGCTCACCATTTTAGTGGCCCTATATCTGACTCGAATTAGATTGTACGAATGATTGTTGTCAAAATATATATCCTGGCTATCCTCGTATATAATTATCCAGTTAACTCGCGTTTGTGATTAACAGAATTACAATAATTCATATACGAGAAATGATTTCTAATACGTCTATTTTGTACAATCATTGATGCAGGCGGACGATCAAAGGAACGAAGAGAAACGAAATAATGCGCGGTGGAGAAGGCTTGTGAGCCAACTCGATTTAATCAAGCGTGAATTAATATCTATAGTCGCACAAAAATAGGCTACAGACGTGATGAGTAGGTTAAGGCGTACACACACATACGCCCATAAAAAATAGTCGGGGTTGACAAGTGAGAATAATTAACAAGATGCGACTCAAGAAGAATGAATAGATCGGCCTGTTCAGAAGCTAGAATAGGTTGTGTGAGCTCAAAATATGAACGGACACTACACATCTGACAATAAAATGTGTATCAATCAAGATAAATTACTTGGTAGAACCGGTAGTTTGAATTTCCGATAAGCTTTGTGATGAGACAGAAATCTGGAGAGTCGGAAAGTCATGCACTTATTGTACATTCATCAAACAAACAGGTTAAATAAGGATGCGGAAAATCTTGATCGTCAGTAGAAAGTAGTAAAATTTGGGCACTTACATGGTGAGCCATTTGTTTTGGTATTTCTTAAAAGTATTGACTGAGGTTGATAGTGAATGTCGTTATCCACTGTCATTTTAGACGAAACTGTTATTTTTTAAATGAGACAAATGAGGTGATGAAGACTTTTATCAATTAACTAAACTGTCCATTCTTTTGTTCAACATTCATCCAGATTATCTGCGAATCTCTGAAAGCGTCCACAGGCAAGCTGGCTGTTGGGGATAAAGTGACTCTAGCCGACTTAGTTCTGATTGCTGTCATTGACCATGTGACTGATCTGGATAAAGAATTTCTAACTGGAAAGTATCCTGAGATCCATAAACATAGAGAAAATCTATTAGCCAGTTCACCGAGATTGGCGAAATATTTATCAGACAGGGCTGCAACTCCCTTCTAGAACTGTCAACAGAATGCTGGGTGTGACGAGATTGAAGATATTGATAGTAGTGCACTGGTGTGACCTTTTTACAAAGACGTCATTTGTTTTATGGTATTTTTTTCGCAATCGTTATTAAAATAAACTTAGTTTTCTGTTTAACTTTGTCTTCTGTGAATAGTTACTCAAGCGCTTTAGACAAAAGTGTGAGTAAAACAAAGTGGGTGGATTTAAAGATTAAGCTCGTGTACAACGTCGTGGATTGATTGATGTTAAACATTAATACTGTTGAATGCCAGCCTAGTTGTCTAGAGGTTAAGAGGCCGCGTGCGTGGTCGTGGGTGCGCGCTCCTGAGGAGTCCCGTCCAGTGTTGGTTTAACATTAATCGGTTAGCGATTTCAATGAAATATCTATATCTTAGATTAAGTGGGTCAGAAT